TCTCTCTCTCTCTCTCTCTCTCTCTCACACACACACACACACGCACACACACACACACGCGTCCTTCCCCACTGAAGGAAGGAGGCTCTCTGACGAGCATCTCTCTATCTCGCACAATCGCTTTCACTGGGAGCAACCGCGGCAAGGTCCATCGCTTCCGCTCGATTTCGGGAGAGCGACAACGATTGCCCGCCCTCGCTCGCTCTTGCTCTATTCGGTGAACCCCCCTCCTCGTCACCTTCCTGACCTCCGTCCCGTTTTCCGGTTCGGACGACTATTTGCAACCCTGATTCCGATATGATGTCCCCACTACGATCCGGATCCCACGAATTCGACTACGTTACCAACCCTATCGCTAACCCCGAACTTCGGAGTCTGTGTCCCCCCTACTATTACCGGGTCGCCCTTCCCAGTATTTTTCAACGTGGCCACACTAAGGCCGTGAGATGCTCAGACCACGCGGCAAGAACCGGTGCGTGCTCCTCATTAGACACCACTACAAAACCTTTACGTTTAAGGTTTTCATGGTTACACCCCTCCCTAATCTCTACACCACTTACGAAACCCTTACATGTAAGGTTTTCATCCTTACACCCCTCCCTAATCACGAAGAAAAAGAAGTAGAATAGAACTTGTTTTCACATTCGCCTCCGTAAGGGCAGGGGCGTTGACCGCGCGTACCCCCTATGCTGCAGCGAAGGAGAAATGCCCTCGGTCGGGCCACCTCTGCGATTGATTGCGATTAGCTTTCGCACGTGGTTCCCGCAGGTGGAGGTAAGACGTGGCTCGCGTGACCTTGTCCTGTCGTAGGGGCTAGCGAGAGGTACGGCTGGCACACACGGTGTGAGGAAACCCGGGGAGGGGTCCCTATTCGTCGCTGAAGCCAGAGGCATCGGCGTTTGTCACCCGCCGTGCCCGCTTCGGAGGTCCTCAGCGTTGTAACAGGGGAGTGAGATGTATTCGGCCTGTCAGACACCCCGCTCAGGACTGTGTTAGATGTTTCTTCGTTGCACACGGAATTTGTTCAAAGCTTGAAAGAAAATAACATAAGCATGCCCAACCTTCAGTTTTAAGATCTAGGCTGAAAGATAGACATGAGACCGAATCTGATTTACCGCCCGATTCAGCGCAATCAAGGGCCGCAGAACAGTCTGTGTGGGCAGTGAGTGATCTGCTATACCTCCCATATACAGGAGTATGTCGGAAGTAGCAACAAGCAAGTTCGCTGCTGTGATTTTGTTCAGTCACAAGGGGAAGCAAGGGATATCCAGGTCAGCGTGCAGACCGATTTTTATTGCACCTGATGGAGAAGACTCAGCGTTGGGATTCAACCAAATTGCCCTTTTCACACTTGGTGGCC